TCCTTTTTTTTTTTTTTTTTTTTTTATTGCTTGGACACATCACTAAAGCTCAAATTAGAGCTCTAGATTTAGAGCTCTCTAGCATCTCCCTTAACAAAATATATACCGTAAAAATAAAAAAATAAAAATATATATAATAGAACTCTAATACATGTTTGGGAGTATTTGAAGAGTGTCAGTGTCCAAGCTTCATAGAGTATGTATCTTTATAAATTGAGCTATCTGCTTCAGAATTATGAGAATTAGTTAAATTTCATCAAGATGGAGGTCAAAAGAGAACTTCAAGACCTGCAATATCAGTTGTCACAAGATTGTTAAACATTTACTCATTCTTCTTTCTAGATAATATTGTTTCTTCTTCTTCTAGGCAGTATGGGCCAAATCAGTGATTAGAATGCAATAGGAAGGAGAAGACAGTCCATTATTGTTAGTACATTAAAAACTACTGAGGTTTACCTTGGATGTCATTAAATTGATTATAACTTAGATCCAACCTTTCCAGGTTCCCAAAATAAGCTAATTCTGCACAAAGAAACAACAAAGTGATGAGTTTACAACATCGTAATAACAAGATTAGTAAAAATAATTATGTAATTTTAATTATGATTAACAGTTCTGAACTCCCTGTACAAATAAGAAACACTCATGAATTTTCAGACACAATTGAAGTTCCCATGAGGTGGAAATAATCCCTCAATTTTATTTGCACGGAGATTAAGCATCGTAAGGGATCTAAGTGCACTCAAAGATGGCAGAATGCTATCATCAAATTCCTTCCATTCAAGATTTAGAGTCTCCAATTTTCTCAAAGTCGACAGCTTTTCAAAACCTGCATGAAAATTTTGATAAAATGAATCATTGGTGTTGAATAAATGTTTCTTACCCAAGTAATTCGTACTTATTATATCCTTGATTACATGCAATGCAATAATTAATTGATCAACCAATATTGTAACAAATAATGGCCCACTCCCTCATTTGAACAAATACAATCTTGAAAGTTTGTGCCGCAAACCGCAAGAGATTCAGTTCCTTTTCTTCTCTATTTTCTTTCCCAAGGAACAAACATAGAAATGCACTAATGCAAAAGGTTGATAAAGAAATGCAAGTTTTACAACTAGTTCTTATCTTGCATTCATATTTTCTTTTCCAAAATTGTTTGCGGTACATTGTTATATTGGACCAGAGATGTGGTTTTCCTATCAATATCTAGAGGGGTATAGTTATATTGTTATATTGGACCAGAGATGTGGTACATAGTGTCAGAGTTCAACACTAACTCTCTCTCTCTCTCTCTAGAATCTTCTCTCTAGAATTTTCTCTAGCTTTCTTGTTAGATATTTCTTCTTAGATTTTGGTCAAAGGAATGTGTGGCTGTGAGAAGCTTGGGTTGCCGCCTTTTATGGAGAATTCCGGAATTTCAAAGTCGGTGGATATAATCGACTCTTGTAGCTATAAATAGGAGATGGGTCTTCTATGTGTGAACTTGTAGTGAGAGAAAGGATAAATCTTGGTGTGTGAGAGTGAATACAAAAAAAGTGTGTGAGAGTGTCGTAAAGTCTTGTGCAAGTAAGTGATGTCTCATGAGTCTTGATCAAATCAGCACGTGTGTGCTAGTGATACAGGGTACTATTGTGTGTAAGTGGATTGTGTATTTTGTTGCATTGTATTCGTGGGTGTACACAATTCAAATTTGACAATCTTTCAAATCTTGCAAAGAAGAGCACAGTCATCACAATTCAAATATAAATTTTTGCAAGTAACAGGAAATACTGTGATCCTTAAAAACTGATGAATTTTTGGGCAGAAAGGTCCTTTGGTTTCAGTTCACAAATACAACTTTTTTTTCTCTTTCCTTTTTCTTTCTTTATTTCTTTCTCTCTTTTTTTTTTCTCCTGATTTTCACAACTCACATGGTCAACTAGCTACGAGTCATGAGTTGAGACTATTGAGAATTGGGTTTCATCACGAAGTCAATGCGGAGAAGAGCTTTGTGGGTGTATTTAGATGCACCCATTTCAAATCCCTCTATATGAAGAGAAATGTAAAATAAACATTTTTCTTTTGTTTGTTATCTAGGCAAATTGAAAAAACAAAAATAGGAAATATATTTTTTAATTTTAGATCATCTGTAGAAAAACTGTAGTCTTAAGCATCTACAATTATTTGTCAAACTCAAATTTGATGAAAAAGATAGTTAAAAATGAGCTCCAGGTCCAAGCCTCCAACCATTTCATAAAACCTGTATCAATATCAATTAAAGGGAGAACCAATTTTTTCATCAAATCAAGGCTCCCTCAAGTCTTTCATCAAATGCCCAACCGTCATATTCTTTTTCAACTATGGTTAAGAGTAAGGATTGAAGATGGTTGAAACACTCATTTCTTTAGATTATACCATTGGTGATCATCATATTAGATCAAGCTTTTAACTGAATTTATATTCAAAATTCATGAAAAAATAAAGAAAGAGTAAGGATTGGAGATTGCCTTATATTGGGTGATTGTTACATAGCAGGGCCATTCAACTATGTAACGGTATGTCACGGACTCGCACATAGGCGGGGATTCGAACCCACAATCCTGATTTGTAACTTAAAAATGTCACCGTCACATTATTTTTTTTAAATGCCAATTATTGTCCATAGAGTTGTAATTTGTCTAGGTCAACATACATACATTAAAATGTGCAAAAAAATGTCCAGAAATAAGTGTTTTAGGATGTGTAAAAAATATATAGGCCCTGTTTGGTACAGCTTAATTTCAACTTATTTCAGCTTTCAGCTTAATTTAAGCTATTTTGATGTGTTTGGTTTAGCTTATAGCTTATAACTTATAGCTTTGTGGAAGTCAGAAAACAACTTATTCTTTGAGTGGGGCAAGAGATGCTTTAAGAATAAGCTGGAAATCAGCTTAAGCTGAAAGTTATAAGCTATAAGCTGTTTAGGCATAAGCTATAAGCACTTTCCCACAGCTCTACCAAACAGGGCCATAGATTCTAACTTTTTGATAATTTTCCCCCTTCCTACCATGACAGCTCATTAGTTGTTAATATTAGCATGACTTTTTTTTTAACAAGATGAATCACTTATCCCAAAATCTCTACCCATCCCCCCACCTCACAAGTAGTTTTTGGGAAAGAATCTCACCCCTTATCTAACATAAGACTTGTTTAGAAAAAAAAAAAATTATGTTTAATATTTTCAGTTAAAAATTATTCTCCATTTAATTTATTTTTCTTCTACTATGAAATGTAGTAATTTCAGAAAAGTAAAATATAAACACTCGTTGACTACATAGTAGCTGTTTGCATACCTTCATTGTCAGTCCAACCACTGAAGGAATTGGAAGACAAAGTGAGGCTTTGAAGCTCTTTGAAAGGAAGGAAGAGGGAAGCATTTATAAACCAAATTCTGAAATCTTCATATAATACATCTTTACATTATGCAAAAAAGAGCTCTGTCGCGTGCCCCGTGGTGCGATCACACGTGACTCTCTCCCAATCACAGCACTCACTGTGATGATCTGGTTTCTCAACCCAGGTAGGGAGAAGATGGTCTGCATCAGCACCATTGGATTTGAGAAAGTCCTTGAATTCCAATAGACCCCTGCTCTCCCCTTCCAAGCAACCACCAGAGTGTCTATTGACCTGAGCCAAAACTATCACTACCCACATAGCAAACTTTCCCAAAAAAGACCACCCCATTCTGTGGAACTCTGAGCACAATTTCAAGTCATCAAACATAACTCTTGTATATATAATACTAATATATATTGTTGTATATATGCATGACATGATCTAACATATTGGGCTTAGTGTGAATGGCAGGTTTCTGGTTGAGTTGATATAAAAATGGATCTTTGTCCTATGTATTTGGATTGTCACTCAGACAATCTCCAGCCACGTATGGCAGTCGTCTTCTCCATATTTGTTTATACCAATTTGGGATTCATAGTCGTCATTACAAGAATATAATATCATTATTATGCCTCAAATTTCCCTTGAATTTTTTAACTAGAAGAATTGACTCAATTTGGCAGTCATAGTCATACTTACAAGAACAAGACATCCTTTGTTTATACCAATTTGGGATTCATAGTCATCATTACAAGAATATAATATCATTATTATGCCTCAAATTTCCCTTGAATTTTTTAACTAGAAGAATTGACTCAATTTGGAAGTCATAGTCATCCTTACAAGAACAAAACATCATTATTATGCCTCAAATTTCTCTTGAATTTTTTTAAACTAAAATTGAATCAATTTTCCATTTAATTCTTGGGCTTCTCTTTTAGGTCAGAAATGAACTAGTGATCTTAAACAATTTACATGGTTAGACAAGGTTGGACTGTGTCAAAGCTGTTATAGTTATGTTTGTTTCAGACCCTGGTTGTGCCCAATTTTGCCTTTATCTCACGGCCACATGTCTTCTCTGTCTTCCCTAATTTTTGCTTCTCTCTCATCATCTAACCAGATTTTTGTCAGATTCTGATTAACCAATGCCTAAAATTCAACGATACAGATATTGTAAAAAGGTCTTAATACTCGATACTTCAATATCATCTTTTTCTTCTTCTTCTTTTTCTTCTTCGTTTTTTTTTTTTTTTTTTTTCAGTCTCAGAGAAGCAGTTAAGACAAGCTAATTTGCAAACCACCGTTGTAAAAACAAAATCCAAGGGGAAAATAAATAAATAAATGCACAATCTTCATACCCTGTCATCTGTGGCGAAGAAGTAGAATTCATGTTCGAAGGCACTTGTCGTCAAGCGGTTTCCGATGGCGAAGGTTGAGATCGAACATCAACCGCCGGTGTTGAACATGAAGAAGGGATTCGCAGCGGAGGCGTTGAATCAACCATCGGCGCCAGCGAGAGAACGCCTCCTCAGTCCAGAAAAAACGGCAGTGAAAATTTTAGTCAAAAACATAATAAAAAAAATCAACTGTTTTAGGAAATTCTTACCATTACAAAAGTGAAATGTTCATATATAAATTCATAAAAATAAATAAATAAATAAACCGAATATATATTTACAATTTATTTTTGTTTATCAGTTTATTTTTGTTTATCAGTTTATGTTATATACAAATATTTGTTTTTTCAAAAAACAAAAAAGAAAATTGTATACGAACAAAACAAATAGTATGAAAAAATTTATTTTCACACATCTATTTATGTTTGTATACATACATACGCTCTGTTTGATTAAAAATAAATAAATTATAGAAAGTGAAAATAGTAGAAAGTAAAGTGAAAGAAAAAAAATGAAAAGAAAATATATTTTGTAGTATGAATTTGATTATGATGAAAATTTTGTAAGAAAATAGGAATACTTTTACAACAAATTTAAACTTTCTTATATTTTCATGTGTTTTTTTTTTTTTTTTTTGGCAAGAAATCGAAAGTTTAGTTACCATGCTATTATGAGTTGTATAAGAAAACTAATTTTCTTGCTAAACAAACTTAGAAAAATTTTATTTTTTTCCATTTCTTTCACTTCCTACCAATTTCATCCTAACCAAGCTAAGTCTTAATGAAACATTAGAGGGTTGTAATTAACACTTACCTAATTTCTTTGGACTTTCAGGACCCGTTTGTTTTGGGTGATAGATGAAAGGATAGGATTAGGATAGATGTATGGCTCACTATAATGATGTTTGTTTGCAAAAGAAGGAAGGGAATTCATAATCCCTCAGGACTGTGATAGGCTTTGGAGGAGGAGATTAGCAAAGACCTTCAAGGGTTGGGTTTCAAAACTAATGAGAGGATTAGCTTGGAAAAAGACCATTTTGTCCATGTTGTGTATTGTGTATTTGTGTTGTGAAGTCCTGGGTCTTGACTTGACTGGTTTTGCATATCTAGTTAGTTTGTTTTGCGTTCGGCATTTTGAATTATTGTATTAAGTCGTTGAAATTTCTATTTTACTCTTACTTAACCTCTCTGAATGTTTCCGAGTTGAAAATTTTGAGTTTGGAGCATTAGAACTTGCCTTGGGGTGTAAAATCATTTTCTAGGCTGCCTGGCAAAACCGCTCGTGCCGATTAGGGGAAATCGCTCAAGTGGGAACCATTCAGAGAAAGGGGCTTTCTGGGCAGAATTTCCGTTCGTGCAGAATGGGAAACCGCACGTGCGGATTTTTGGTTAAATTATGGGTCCACTCTGTGTAAATCCGCTCATAAAGAGCAATCTGGATCCACTCATGGGGAATTAGAACCGCATGTACGGATTTCGACATGTCCTGTCTCGAATTTCGGGCTCTTTTCCTCAAAACTGATGCCAAAAAAGTGTTTTGACCACTTTTTTTCAGCTCTCTCTCTCTATATTCATTCTTGCTCTCCCTTCTCTCTGCACACCTACCAAATTTCAACCTTCTCTCTAAGATTTGGCAAGATCTACCAAGAATTCGAGAGGGCTTTTTACACCAAATTGAAGAGATAAGGGCTACGTTTCTAACCGATTGGATCAAATTTTTGTCAACCTTGAGTTCTAGGGTTTTCTTCCTCCTCATCTCCCAAGCTTGAGGTAAGAACAATCTTTGAGTCATATATATGTTTTTGCAAGATTGTGCTTGTTTGAAGTATTTATGACATGTTTGAGCTATGAGTTTGGGTTGTTGAAACCTAGTTGATGTTAGAAGATGATTTTGTCTATTTTTTTCCAAAACTTTTGAGTATGTGAGTTATGTTCTTAGGTGTGGGTGTTGTTTTGGAAAAATCTTCTCAAAAATGGAACAAAAACCTTATTTTGTTGGAAACCCTAGAATTTGGGGATTTTGGAAAAAAGTTGAGATATCTTGAAATTGATGCTTAATAATTGTTATGTGAGTAAGTGATGGGAGAAATTTCTATGGTTGTATCAAATGAAGAGCTCTCATGATAAAATGCGAATTTACTGATTTTGGGAAGCTTGAGAAATAGCTTGCTATTGTTGTCTTGGTAAAAACAAATGTTAAGAAAATGATGAACATATGAGAAATGTATGAAGGTTGATATTGTATTATTTATCTATTGTAAGTGTGTTATGATATTATAATGGCAAGAGATGTGAGAATTGGATCACAATAGAGAATTATGTGGTGACATTGAAAATGGACTATATTAATGCATTGTTTTATTATTACATTGCCATTCCATTTTATCATTAATGCTATTGATTTGAGTTTTGCATTGGAAAAGTATTGTTTTGAGAAAGGAAATTATTTGTGAAACAAGGTCATCTTGATTTGTTTTTTTGGGGTAAATACGATGGTAAGTCCAGATAAGGGATGTAGTTTGGTATTGGTTAAGTTGGCCTAAGTGTCCATGGTGAAAGGCCGAAAACACGCGCGTATGAGGTACTACGTGTCTTCCGGTGAGAGACCGGTAAAGTGGGGATTGGTAGTGCTTGATATGCCTCCTTGCAGATACCAACCTAGGGATTATCTGAGTCATATTTACCATCCCTTGAAAATTATATTGAAATTGTTGGATCATTGTGTTTTCAAGTTGGCATTGTGCACAAGATTTCCAAAAGATAAGAAATACATTTTGAGGATGACATAGCATATTGCATTCTTCTTAGGAAATTGTATAAAATGTATATACTTTGTTGAGATTTTTCTTACTGGGCTTTGTGCTCACCCTATGAGATTTTTTGTAGGAAAAGATGTGGTGATCTCGAAGAATTAAAGGCGTGGAATGTGTTTTGGGAGTACAAGGCTCTTTCCTGTTTGTTGTGATTATTTTGAAAAGCCAAGGGCTTTATATGTATCGGTTCGATAACCATTTTTGTGTAACCAGGCATAAGCCTTGGAACTTGTAGCCCATGAGGGCGTTACTTTGTATTTAAATATTGTGGTGCCACACGCTATAGATTCATATTTTAAAAATGTTAAATGTATAATTGCATGTGGAAATACTTTTCTAAATCTCTAGAATGTAATGAACACGAGGTTTAGAGATTTAATGATGATGCTAGTGATAAGACTACATATATACTTCATGTACATATATTAAAATGGAAGTTATTGAGTCGGAATATGATCTTGATGATTGGAAAATTAGAATTCTTCTTCGGCTAATATTTTAGAGGCGTTACATGTGTGTCTTATTTATTTATTTTTTTTGGTATTATGTCATTATATATATATATATTAAAATAATATAGTACAAAAAAATATTTACAAAATATATCAAAAACACCAAAGGCTATTTATGATATTTCATATAGTTAATTCTCTCACTAAAATATATCACAAATAAACACAATTTTTCTTAGTCCCCTCACTAACAATCCCTATACTAATAATCCCTTCACTAACAGTCCCCACACTAACAATCCCACCCAATCTAACTCTGAAAACAAACAGGCCCCCAATTCTCTTTTCTTTTTCTTTTTTTAATTACAATTATACCCTAAAGTAAAATTACATTAAAGTACAATCTTTAATGGAACACCCATCTACTAAATAAAGACAACTATACAATATTGTACACTCACCTCTTCCACCTAAACGTATTCCTCACATAACTAAACCTAACATATTCATCTTCATCAACGTTCCTCTTCATCACCATTTGTAAACCCAACGTTCCTCTTTATAACCACCCTAAACCCAACGTATTCTTCTTAATCACCATCCTAAACCCTAAACGTATTTCTTTTCATCACAATCCTAAATCCTGAACTAAAAATCAAAAGCTGAATTGGAATGGATCTCTATTATTTTGTTTGTTATATTAAATTGGAATGGAAAAGCGTAATGCCCCAAAATAATTAACAATAGATAATCCCACAAGGCAAGCTAAATGTGCGGAAACTTATTAAATATTAACCTTTCATTAATTCTCTTAAAAAGATTACAGAAGATGCCACATATAGATTCTTGCCTTAATAAACCCCAGATCTTGAATCTATAGCATGTGACATATATCAATGCAAGGAAATGAAAAGAAGTATATATAGATTCATGCCTTAATGGCTACATATTTCCAAGTTGATGCTTGGTTACAACAAAAGTGGGTCAAGCCCAAAACAAATAAAAAGTCCGAGGCTTGTATAACTGATATTTACAACAAAACAAAACAAAACGAGCCTTTAGCTCCACGATCCTCCCACGCTAAGTCCTTAGTGAAGGCATACCATCAATACCTGAAAGTTGGTTTCCACATAAGGTGAGCTAAAGCCTAGTAGAGAATGCCTTAACACACTGTATGATGCTTAACAAAGTCATATGGTAAATGCATATTGGTGAAGGTATACCATCAACACCTAAAAGTTGGTTTCTACATAAGGTGAGTTAAAGCCTAGTAGAGAATGCCTTAACACACTGTATGAGGCTTAACAAAGTCATATGGTGAATGCATATGCATGCCATTTACCAAAACCTTACACTTTCACTTTCAAAACAATGTAATGACATGATTATAGTTCAATTCGTAAAACAATACTTTTTAAATAAGAAAATAGGGCAATGGATACACAACATTGGGAATCTCTAGGTATGTATATGTCAGTAGGCTATACAAATACTACTAAAGCCATTTTACCAGTACTAACCGGAAGGATCGACACCTAACCCCGCGGATTTCTGGACTTTCACCAAGGACACACAAGCCAACATAGAAATACCACAACCACACCGCTTAACCACATTCACCAAGGTATTCATCCATTTTTCTCAAAACGACACATTTTCAATGTATAACTATGAAACAATGTTCAATGCAAGATGTATGAGTAGTTGGTTTCAATTAACCTAATCTTCATGCAATTTCTACAACAATCAATGTTATCCTCCACCGATAAACCAAAACAGATATCTCTTTTCCTAATCTCAAAATGAGAGTGATAATACATATCATTATCAATAGATACATTTATTTTATCTTTTCAAAATCCAACACCTTTCCCTTTTATTCATAGGTCAAACACTAATGATTTCCAATCAAACATCTTTTACTTTCAAAAACCCATTTTAAAGAGAAATCTCCAATATCTCAACACAACTCAACAACA